TACAGCTAAAAAAAATATTAAAAATAAAAAAGTGAATCAGTTGGAATGGGCCTAATTACACTTAAATACTGTGTCAGTACGCACAGTGGATTCATGACAATTTCCACCTAGTGTCATTTCTATGTAACCTTCTTCCTAACACAAGAGCACCTTGTTTCTTTTCAATTCTAGCCCCACAGCTTAGTAGCTTCTTGGTCCATCCTCCTCATGGTGGATAAATTCCCTCTAGTAAATAACCCCTTCCTCTCATGACTCAGTGGAAAGACACAAGAACATGTGCCAATGAGTAAGCCAAGCCACATGACCACACCTCCAAGAAACCCGCCCCTGTCCGGCTTTGTCTAGAGAGCAGTGAGAATACACTGAGTTTTGCCTTCCTGTCCTTTCTCTCCCCTCCATATCAGACAGCAGTGCAGAGAGGCTTTGTTTTGCTTTGTTTTCTCTGTTCTTTTGCAACTTATTACTCGATGAATTCTGCCTCCTTTTAATTTTTTTTTATTTTAGATGTTGATGGACCTTTATTTTTATTCATTTATTTATATGTGGTGCTGAGAATTGAACCCAGTGCCTCACACATGCTAGGCAAGCGCCCTGCCACAGAGTCCCAGCCCCAGTCCCTCTGCCTACTTTTTATATATTTAAAAAATGTAGCATGTATTAGAAGGACATTTCCCCATAGACACTTCTTTGGGGTCAAAAAGGACTTTGCTGCAATCTAACTCTAGAATAGCCCAGAAGTCTTTGCAAGTAACCTAGTAACTTTCTGAGCAGGTTTTTTGTTTTGTTTTGTTTTGTGATGCTGGGGATTGAACCCAGGGCCTTGTGCATGGGAGGTAAGCACTCTACCAACTGAGCTATGTCCCCAGCCCTCTGAGCAGGTTTTGATCAATATGAGTCACCTAGAGGGTGTACAGATTAAATCACACACACACACACACAGCCCTCTGCATTCATGGGTTCTGCATGAGCAAATTCAATTAAATACAAATCAAAAATATCCAGAAAAGAAACTGAGGATATGGCTCAGTAGTAGAATGCAAGAGGCCCTGGGTTTGATCTCCAGTACTGCAAAATAAAAAACACTCAGGAAAAAAAAAGAAAAGGACCATTTTTTTCATGTCATTATTCCCCTAAGAAATGCAATGTACCAATTATTTTAAACAGCAATTTATACCGTATTAGGCATATTAAGTAATGTGGAGATCATTTAAAGTATATAAGATATGCAAGTATATTATGCCAATTAATATTAGGGAATTGAGCATCCTTGGATTTGGGTATCCGAGTGGTTGAGAGTTCTGGAACCAATCGCTCATGGATACCAAAAGATGACTGCATGTTAAGTTTGAGCATTTAGTAAGTGCTGGGCAGAAAGAGTAGGACAAAAATCATACAAGAGGTTGTCTTTGCCTCAAGGTCAACCTTATTGTGTATAACAACCTGCATTTTACTTTTTGCTCAAATGATGGCCAAAATGGGTAAAAAAAATACTTTGAATCCAACACAAAAGTAATATTTCCAAAAGTTGCAAAAGTATAGTCTTCCATTCTGTGTCTTTGTTGAATTTTTTGGTGAGGACCTTTTTGTGATTTCTTTTCGGCCCCCTACAGGAGTGTTTTCATGCATTACTACCCCCAGGCTCATCCACTGGGCAGCACCTAGCATCCACTGGTTTGCTGCTGCAGCTCTTCAGCCCAGAGCTCAGTGAGGATTCATACCAGACCCGTATGTAGAGAATCAGCTGTGACCAATGTGTTTTCCCACACTGCTTTTCCCACAAGAACTGGGTTTCTCACACAGAGGTTGTACAGGGTGTCAGATCATTGCTGTGCTCAGAGATTATCACAAAGTTGACAAGTTGGTTGCTGTTGATTTTGTTGTTATCATTATTTGTACATCTCATCAGCATGGGTTAGGAGAAGCTGCTGTGGGGAGATAATTTTTAGGTGACTCAGATGCACCATGCTGGACAGCTCCCAGCCTCTGCAATTTCTCTCTGGCTTCCAGGAAAGCTGGCATAGGAGTGAGAAAACATTCACTCCTCACACCTACCAAAGGCGTGTCTGGAGGGTTCTGTGGAAACCAGGAGCCTGTGTGTCCTATGTCTCTGAAGTAGTTGCTTTGGCTGTGCTTGGAAAGGTGTGAAGAGTAGGCAGGCAGCTCCAAAGCAGGGCGATGACAACCATTTACATGATGAGCAAGTTAGGCTGTCATCTCAAAGAGCTTATTCTGGACGTTTGCCTCTATGTGTCCTTCCTGGATGTGGTCACAGGCATCTGCCCCCCTTGCCTTGATAGGGGCTGGGGTATGGGCTGGTCTGAGCATTTCTTCCAGGCAGGGTTTAGCTCCATTCTAAGTGGGATGTGGAGACACTAAAAAGCAATCTGAATGAGGAAACAGTGCCAAGTCTTCATGGCCCACTAAGAGACAGGACAGTTGAGTGGTTAGGCTCATGCAGGTGGCTCGACATTGGGGAGAGAGTCAGTTCATGTTTTCCAGTTATGTGACTGAGCAAGTACTCTAACTCTGTTCTCATTTGTAAAATGGGGCAGCTTTCTGTGATGTCCTGTAGGAATACAGTGCGAAAAATGCACTGGGGTCCCTCCTTATCTCTGTCTTCATGCCTGTGATTATTATTGTTTTCTAAAAAAATTTTTGGCAGTACTAGGGATTAAACCAGGGGTGCTTTAACACTGAACTATGTACTTCCAGCCCTTTTTATCTTTTGAGAAAGGGTCTCACCTAGTTGCCTAAGCTGGCGTCGAACTTGCAATCCTCCTGCCTCAGCCTCCTGAGCAGTTGGGATTATAGGTGTGCACTACAGCTCTAGCTCATATGGTTATTTTTATAATGCTAGCTATATGGAAGTAATTGGAATTGTTTAATCTAAAGGAGAGAAGATTGGAGAAGGACATGGTTCTGAAGGGCTATAATGTAGTAGAGGGAGCAAAGTTATTTTTAGTTTGACTAAAATATGGCCTTTGCAGGAAGGCACATTTCACATCAATAAAAGACACTTTGTGAAAGAAATGCTCAAGAACAGCCAGGCTATCCTGCTAGGTATTGGGGCTCCTGATTGATGCTGGGTGTCCATAGCACTAGAGCGTTTGAGGGGAAAGGGCTGCTCCAGGTGGGAGGTTGTTTGGATCAGATGCTTGAGTCCTCTTCCATCTCTATGATGTCAGGAAATTTAGCAAAGGGCTCAGGCTTTGGAGTCCTGAAAAAACTGATGAAACCAGCAACTGCATAGAATAACACCAGAAAAAAAAAATTTATGAAGGATCCATTGGGTACAAAATACCAAGCTTATTTGCCTAGAGAAGATAATCCTCAGCATTTTACTCATTATATTAGTTTCCTAGGGCAGAATCACAGACTGGTGACTTAAACAAGAGAAATGAAGAATGTCCCACAGTTCTGGAGGCTGGGAGTTCAAGATGTCAGCTGTGTTGGTTCCTTCTGAGGCCTCTCTTCCTGTAGATGGCATTTTCTCACAGTACATTTCCATGGTTTTTCCTAGTTTTAATACGTCTGTGTCCTTATTTATTTTATCTTTTTGGAACTGGGGATTGAACCTACGGGCACTTAACCACTGAGCCACATCCCCAGCCCTTTTTATTTTTTATTTTGAGACAGGGTCTCACTAGGTCGCTTAGGGCCTTACTAAGTTGCTAAAACTGGCTTTGAACTTGCAATCCTCCTGCCTAAGCCTCCCAGGTCGCCAGGCTTATGGGCATATGCCACTGTGCTCCTTCTAATCTCTTCTTTTTAATTTTTTAAAGGGAGGGTGTTACTGGGGATTTAACCCAGCTGCAATTTACCTCTGAGCTACATCACGAGCCCTTTTTATTTTTTTAAGTTGAAGCAGGGTCCTTGCTAAGTTGCTTAGGGCCTCAATAAATTGCTGAAGCTGTCTTTGAACTTGCAATGTCTTGCCTCAGTCACCTGACCATTAGGACCACAGGCAGGCGCCACCATGCTGGCATAATCTTTTCTTATAAGGACATCAGTCATGAAGGACCACCCCAATGACTTCATATAACCCCAGTTACCTCTTTAAAGACTGTTTTAAGTATCTTCAAGGGATTAGTTCCAGGATCCCCTTTCAGATGCCAAATTCCCTCCATGCATGAATTCATCATAGAAAATGCAAATATTGAATTTGCATGTAATCAAAGCACTTTATTTATTTATTTTTGTGCCAGGGATTGAACTGAGGGGCTTTAACCACTGAGCCACGTCCCTAGCCCTTTTTAAATATCTTATTTAGAGCCAGGATCTCACCGAGTTGCTTAGGACCTTATTAAGTTGCTGAGACTGGTTTTGAACTTGAGATCCTCCTGTCTCAGCCTCCCAAGTCACTGGGATTATAGGCCTGTGCCATTACGCCTGGCTCAGTGCATGTTAAGTCATCTCTAAATTGCTTATACTACCTAATACAATGTGAATGCTATGTAAATAGTTATTATACTGTGTTGTGTAGATAATAATGACAAGAACAAAAAAGGGTATGTATGTGTTCAATACAGAGACAGTTTTTCCTTTCTGAATATTTTCCATCTGTCATTGGTTAATCTGTAGTTGTGGAACCCACATATAAGGAGGTCAATATTCTGAGATATTAGGGTTTTTGTTTTGTTTTTGAACCAGGAGTTGAACCCAGGGACATTTTACTGCTGAGCTATATCCCCAGTCCTTTTATTTTTCATTTGGCACAGGATCTCACTGAGTTGCTTAGGGCCTGGCTAAGTTGCTGAGGCTGGCCTCAAACTTGGAATCATCCTGCCTAAACTTCCCCCGTTGCTGAGATTGCAGGCATAGGCCACCAAGATCAGCATTCTGAAGTATGGAGTTTGGACTTCCACTTAAGCCTTTGGGGGAGGGGAGATATAGCCCAGCCCATAACACTGTGCGTGGACAAGGGACTGATTCTTTGAGTAGTGGGAGTTGTCACCCACATGATTTCTAAACAGTATCCTGTCTCAATTCCCTTCTCCTAGGTGAGCGGCCCTTTCCCTGCACGTGGCCAGACTGCCTTAAAAAGTTCTCCCGCTCAGATGAGCTGACCCGCCACTACCGGACCCACACTGGGGAAAAGCAGTTCCGCTGTCCACTGTGTGAGAAGCGCTTCATGAGGAGTGACCATCTCACAAAGCACGCTCGGCGTCACACCGAGTTCCACCCCAGCATGATCAAGCGATCGAAAAAGGCGCTGGCCAACCCCTTGTGAGGTGCTACCCACGGCAGCCAGGGAGGGATGGACCCCAGAGGACAACACAACTCCCAGGACACAGACGGACACATGGAAACCAAGCCCCAGAAGAGGCTTGCTGACAGCAGGAGGTCACTGCTCTTTGGTCAATATTCTGATTTTTTTCTCTCCCTATATTGTTTTTTAAAAGCACATGGTAGCCTCAGATCAAAGTGAACACTTGTCCCCTTGCAGAGACAACTCGGGGAACCGTCTCTGACTGCTGGAGGGAGGCATATGCTTTTGTTTTTTTTCTCCTTTAGGTTTTTTTTTTGGGGGGGTGGGGTGGGGGTGGGGAAGGGAGGGGGCAAGGCCAAGACTGGGGTGGAATTTTAAAGATTCACACTGGTGTACATATGTCTGACTGGGTGAGTTGACCTGTGGCACTACACAGCGATTCTGGGCCCTTGATGCTTGCTGTCTCTCCGAATTGTTTTCTTACCTTTTAATGTAATGACAAGTGTGCTTCAGTTTGTTTAGCAAAACCACTCTCTTGAATCACGTTAACTTTTGAGATTAAAAAAGAAACTCCATAGCACAGCTGTCTTTATGCAAGCAAGAACACATCTACTCCAGCATGATCCGCCATCTAAAGACTCGAAAACAAAAAAGTTCCTTACAGTCAATGGGTAAGCAAAGTCCGAATTTAATAAGACCAACCTTGGGCAGGTTGCACCAAGTACGGAACTTTTCAGCCTTGCTTTGTATGAATTGTACTTTTTGAACATAAGCTGCACTTTTATTTTCTAATGCAGAGGATGAATAAGTTAAACACATGCTTTGAGGATAGAAGCAGACATTCTGTTTGGCACCATGTTATAATCTGCTTATTTTACAGTATACACGTTTCCCTAAGAAATCATGGCAGCGATGTGAGGGCAGAATATACACAACACATGCTGAAGGAGGAGGGTAGCATTTAAAAAGATACAAAAGAAGAAGAAGAAGAAGAAGAAGAAAAGAACCAACAGAATTTTAACTCTATTAACTTGTCCAAATTTTCCTATCCTTTTAGTTAACATCATCTAACTGTACCATGATGCCACTGAGAGAAAGAACTTTGGACCCTGTTCAGTGTCATTTGAGTGGGTGCTTAACAGTCACTAGGTCTAGAGGGGGGAAAGGTTTGGTGGTCTCCTTCCCATGTTCCTACAAATCTCCCACTATCAGGTGCAAGAGTTATGTAAAAGGAAAGAGAGCTGAAGTATTTAAAAAAAAAATTACCCTATACGTAGTGAGTGTCAAGGGAAAATACCACCGCTGGTTTCAGAGGAGTCTCTGCTAAATAGTCCCTTTTGGAGAACGCAGGCAAATGAAATGCGTGTGAATGAAATCACATCACTGTACCTTTACATCAGTAGCCTCACCACTATATATCTTGTATCTAGGTGTCTACAACCGGCCTAAACCACTACATCCATACTATGCCATTTACTGAAAACTTAAGTTTGGCTTTTAGTGGCCAGAGAAATAAACTGAGTTTTCATAGTTAAAAACAAAAAAACAAAAAAACAAAAAAATAAAAAAATAAAAAAAAAACAAACCTCAAATGAGGGGAGTCAGCAGTGATCATGGTGGAAATGTTTACATTTTTTTTTTCTTCAGAAATAACACTCTGGCGATTTTATCTGATATTTAAAACGGGGCGCTATGGTGCACTCTAGTTTATCCATGTGCTATCAAATGTGCTGCGTAGACGCAGGGTGCCCACCTGTGAGTGAGCTGGGTATTTCACCCAGCACAGGCTCGTTCCCGGTTCAGATTCAGGGGTGCTCCTGCGGCGGGCACGGGTCACGGCTGACTCCCACTTCCAATACAACAGCCATCACTAGCACGGTGTTTTTCTGTTTAACCAACGTAGCTGTATTAGTGGTTCTATCAAGAGAACTGCTTTTAACATTAGGGACTGGGAGCAGTCCATGGGCTAAAAAGGAAAGTGTTTTCTCATGAGAAAACATGTCAGGAAAAATAAAGAACACTTTCTACCTCTGTTTCAGATTTTTGAAACGCTTATTTTAAACCAAATTTTAATTTCTGTGTCCAAAATAAGTTTTAAGGACATCTGTTCTTCCATACGAAATAGGTCAGGCTGCCTATTTCTTACTGAGCTCATGGGAAGGCTCTGCTTAGGATACCCAGCACGCGCCTTTGAGTGAGTGAGGAGTTTGGGGGTTGCCTAGCAACTTGCTAACTTGTAAAAACTCAGCTTTCCCTCGCAGAAAGAAATGAAGGAAAACAAAGTCAAGCCAGTGAAAGACAATCTTTCTAGTTTCAGGAGTAAATCTATATATGGCTTTCGTCAAGCATTTCGATGGATATAAATGCAGCAACTTGTTTAAAAAAGATGCACAATTTACTTCCCAAAAAAAAAAAAAAAGTTGCTACTTGCCTTTTGAAGTTGTTGACAGACACACATTTGATATTCTCTTATATGTCATAGTAACGTAACGTACAAACTCAAGGCTTTTTATTCTTTGTGATAAATCCTGTTTTACGATGTCACAAAACAGGAACCAGCATTCTAATTAGATTTACTATATCAAGATGTGGTTCAAATAGGACTACTAGAGTTCGTTGAACACTAAAACTATGAAACAATTACTTTTTATATTAAAAAGACCATGGATTTAACTTATGAAAATCCAAATGCAGGATAGTAATTTTTGTTTACTTTTTTAACCAAACTGAATTTTTGAAAGACTATCGCAGGTGTTAAAAAGAAAGAAAAAGCTGTTTTATCTAACACTGTAAGTAGTTGTCATATTCTGGAAAATTTAATAGTTTTAGAGTTAAGATATCTCCTCTCCTTGGTTAGGGAAGAAGAAAGCCCTTCACCATTGTGGAATGATGCCCTGGCTTTAAGCTCCATATCATGCTTCTTTTGAGAATTATATTTGGTAGTTATGATTACAGAAACAAATTAGCTTCGTCAGTTTGCAGATAGATTTAGCACAGTACTCATCACTTTGAGTAGATAGAGATGTTCTTTCACAACGGATGAATGGTCTGTAACACTGTAAAATACTGATCTCTACAACTGTTTAATCAGTTTTATTTTTGTACAGTATTAGTGACCTAAGTTATTTTGCTGTCCCGTTTTTGTAAATCAAATGAAATTATAAAAGAGGATTCTGACAGTAGGTATTTTGTACATATGTATATATGTTGTCCAAATAAAAGTAATAAATGAAAACGATTGAACTGTCCCTGCCATTATGTGTTATAAAACAGGTGCATTTCACCATAATGGAAGTCACTTTGTTAACCACACAGGAGTTTTTCATGAATACAAGATGATGCTACTTTGTCACTTTTGACACATGCTGTATTTGTATAGACTTGTGTGTATTTACTTTTAAAAAAATCTTAGAGTATTGTAGTTATACAACTAACTGTAGTTATGTAGTTATAAATGCAGTTATAAATGCAGCAACTTGTTTAAAAAAGTTAAACAAGTTGCTGCATTTATAATAATATATAATAATTTATAATGTTTGTTCATTTTGACTTTTTTTTTTTTGGTACTGGGGATTGAACTCAGGGGCACTCGACCACTGAGCCACATCCACAGCCCTATTTTGTATTTTATTTAGAGACAGGGTCTCACCGAGTTGCTTAGCGCTGAGGCCAGTTTTGAACTTGCGATCCTCCCGAGCTGGCCATTTTGACATTCATAAATTCATATAAGGCAATTTTCTCCATTTCAATCCCTAATACCATAGCCCTTCCCTCCCCTGAATATGTACTCTTCAGAGACATTTTGAGGAGGCAGAGAGAATGGAGGCCACTATTTATATCTTGTGATTAATCACTTAAAGAGGCTTTTCAAGCTTGAACTCTGTGAAGGTATATCAGGAACTGGTCAAAGGTTTTGTTTTTGTTTTGTTTGCAGTACTGGGGACCGAACCCGGGGGCATACAGCCACTGAGCTATTTTTTATTTTGAGACAGGGCCTTGTTAAAGTTGCTGAGGGTCTTGCTAAGTTGCCCAGTCTAGTCTCAAACTTTCGTTCCTCCTGCCTCAGCTTCCCAAGTTGCTGGGATTAATTTAATGCAAAAATAACTGGGTCAAACAGGAGATTATTTTATTATATTTGGCTATGTTGTATGAGGACATAAAAATGACTACTAATGTTGCATAAAAATACACAAAGCAAATATATATGTATGTGTACTTACATATACATATCTATATATAGATATACCTATACTAGATATAGGTATATCTATATATAGATATAAATATACACAAAAAGGATTTTATAAAAATCAGATTTAACTTCCCTGAAAGAGGGGATTTTTATAAAAATATATATTTTAAAAATATGCATGAAGGTTGTACTAAAACAATATAAGACTTAAAACAACATATTAAAGCTACACATTCTCTGATCACCAGGCAATAAAGTGAACAATTAACAAAAAAGAATAATTTTTAAAACTAAAAATGCTTTCTTAAAATAATTCTTAGATCAAAGAGAAAAATACAAATTATTGTCAGAGTTTATTTATTTATTTTAATATTTTTTTAGTTTTCAGCTGACACAACATCTTTGTTTGTATGTGGTGCTGAGGATCGAACCCAGGCCGCACACATGCCAGGCGAGTGCGCTACCGCTTGAGCCACATCCCCAGCCCCACTGTCAGAGTTTAAAACAGAAAAAAACTTTATTCAAAATATGCCCTAAAGCCAGAATAGAGAAAAACTCAGAGCCTCATGTTTTTCTACATTCTTATGAATATGAAAAAATAAAAGTAAGCCAAGCAATGACTTCAAGAAGCCACAAAATGAACAAATCCAGAAAGAGCATGAAGAAATTTTTAGAAAATGGGATTGACATACAAACCTAAGAAGTAGAACTTTGAAAAGACCTATAAAATAGACACTGTCTTGTTAAAGCCAAACAAGAAAATGAGAAAAATTTAAATACATGCTATTAATGAAGAGAGTTATAACCATAGGTACAATAAGCTAATAATTTTGGACACCTTAATAAAATGACTCCTCTGGGAGAACAATTTTGATAACTAAAACAGTTGTATAGAGTAAAAATCTTTTTAAAAAGTTGACAAATGGCCAGGCGCAGTGGCTCACACCTGTAATTTCAGCAACTCAGGAGGCTGAGACAGGAGGATCACGAGTTCAAAGCTAGCTCAGCAACTCAGCAAGACCCTGTCTCTAGATAAAATATTTTAAAAGGGCTGGGGATGTGCCAATACTTTCTTTATTTTAAATTGAAATGCTAGAATGTGGTAGGAGGTTAGTTTAACTCTGATTTATA